ATGTTTTGACGGTCTGAGCAGGTGGAGGAGGGGAGGCAGGGTTCCTCCCCGGCTTCCAAACCCCAGTGTATGACTCTGCGCTCCCCTCACCCTCTACTCAGGTTCCTCTTGGAACCGTGGGGGTGGGGAAGAGGGGGCATGTGGTCATTTCAGAAACCCTGTAGCAGCAGGAGAAGCGGAATGCTGCCCAGACTGCTTGGATAGGAGCCAGGATGCAGATCATGCACTTCCTCTTCCATTCACACCTGCCACATCCTGAACTGGTGGTTTCTACTCCTCTGTGAGAGCTGATAAACAGGCCAGGGGGTGGGGGTTGGGGGGAAGCAGAGCCACTCCCCATCACACCTCCCCCAGCTTAGCTTTCTAGAAGGCCCCAAACCTAGGAGGTGTTTGATATATGTGATTGCTGGGTACATGCTCATGGGGTGGGGTTTTCTTCCCAGGCCAGCTAAGTAATATCCTCGAAATTGCCAAAGACACCCTGAAATGCAGCTCTGCAATTTTTCGTCATTGACGTTTGAGCTAGTACTGCACTTAGACAGATACAAACTGGAGGTGAAGCCAAGGTGAGGAGCTGGGTTCAGAGCCCTTTGCAGGCATGTGATGCTCTCACCTGACAAGACTGTAGGTCCGGGATGAGCTGCTGTAGGATGGACTCTGCCTATTGGGTTACACTCGCAGAGCTGAGTGGCCTAGGGCACAGTGTCTGAGTACAGCTACATGCTGTCTGAGCCACTACCATTTTCCAGGCACTGTTCAACAATGCTCATGAGTACCTAATCCATGCCAGGCCCTGGGCCCCTGGGATGGACATGATGCAACCCCTGCCCTGGGAAACCCCAGCTTGGACACGTGACCCACACCAGTGATTCAGAACCATTTAAACAAAGAATTGGGTGTCCTGGGTGGGGGCACATAGCAAAGGAACATCTAACTAGCTGCAGGGCCACATGTAGGTCGCCTGGTTCTGTGCCTTGGTTTCCCTAGACGGTCCTGCACGATCCAGCCCGTGCTTCTCCTCTTGACTCTCCATCACTCCCTCTGCTGCTCTGGCCTCCTGTGGGCTCCCGGGCTAACTCTTCCACATTTGTCCTGTCTCAGTACATGTGTCATCTCCTCTGAGAGATGTTCTCCTCATTGTTCTTTATGACACTGGACATCAGGTGCAATAGTACACTTATATGTTCCCCCTTTATTGTCTTTCTGTCCCTAGCCCAGAGCTTGGCACTGAATAAATAATTGTTGAATGAATGAATGAATGAATGAATGAATTAGCAGGTGTGCCAGATCCCTTGGGGCCTTGCTCACCACACCAAGTGCTGCTCCTGGAGGATGGGAAGGCCAGAGGATTTTATTATTTATTTATTTTTTTTTTTAAGATTTTTTTTTTATTGGGGAGTTGGAAGGGGAACAGACAAGTTGCTATCCTTTTGTTCTTCAGTCTAGTTGTGGAGGACGTTGCTTCACTGGCCCAAGTTGGCACCATCATTGCGCTCTTCCCAGGTGAGGCAGATCAGTCGCCGGCTTCTGGACGGCCGCTCACAGTGGCTGCTGGCCGCTCACCTTGGCTGCTGGCTACACACGGTAGCCCATGGCAACCCACCTGCCATCGCTGGTGACTCATGGTAGCCCAGCTCCAGGTTGAGCTGTTCGCCATCTTAGCTGTGGAGGGCAGTGTCACTGGCCCTCATATGTGGGATCCGAACCGGGGCCCTCTGGCGTCCCAAGCCAGCTCTTAACCAATGCGCCAACTCGGCCGGCCCAAGAGGATTTTAAATGAGGCAACAACACCACTACCAGAATTGTGTTGTTAAAAGGCCTTCCTATCACCCTGTGAGGGGTGAAGAAAGAGGAAGGCAGGAGACCAGACTAGATCCTGTCACAGTGTCTTTCTTCTCTACCTCCTTTGCCTCCAGGTCTCACCTTTTGCAGAATGGAGTTCTGTCAGCTGTCAGCTCAAAGCCCGTTTCCAAATTGTCATTGTAAACAGCCTGGAGGCCAGGAAAAAGATTCTTTTTTATTCTTTTCTTCTCCTTGAAAGACTAGCTAAATGAAAAGCTGCTGCGCTGGGGATAGAGAAGGGAAAAGTGCAGCACACCTGAGCTAAGAGGGTCGTGTGGGTCCTCTAGACTGGGAACGGAGTTCCAGAGAAAGGTACACCAGTGCCGGGAGTGTCCCCATGCAACTTGGGGTGGGTGCTGATGTACATGTGATTGAAAAGTGAATGTAGTGGGGTGGCCAGTTAGCTCAGTTGGTTAGAGTGCAGTGCTCATAACACCAAGGTTGCTGGTTCGATCTCCACTTGGGCCACTGAGTTGCGCCCTCCACAACTAGATTGAAACAACCACTTGATTTGGAGCTGATGGGTCCTGGAAAAACATACCGTTCCCTAATAAAATAATATAAAAAAAGAAGAAGAAAAGTGAATGTAGTGTGTGTCCTGGCATGGCGTCTCGCCCTGACTGGAAGGGAAGGTACAGTAGGAAGCACTCCAGGCCATTGGGGGGCAGGGGGAGTGGGGAGAGAGAAGCCTAAAAACAAGAATATCTTGCGGGAGATTGGGTCCTGTGAGGAGGCGTCCCCACTTCCTGTAGCTGGTTGGGGGGGTTCTGACTGATTGCTAGGGGAAGCAGTGGGCCCTGCTGTTAACTAGCTTTAGGCAACTACCTGCTCTGCTCTGAACCTCGGGGTCCTGGCCATGCCATGATTGGGCCTTTAGCAGAGGAGGTGGCGTGGGAAGGAAGCTGTTGATTGATGACATCATCTAAGCCCTTACCTGGACTCCTTGAGGTGGAGACACTGGTGTGTCTGGGTAGGGGGCAGTGTGGCCCATCAGGAGGGCCCCAGACCAAAGCAGACAGAGGATACAGAGACAGGGAGGGGTCCCAGGGAAAAGAATAAGTGACAGGCTCACAGGACATGGGAAGGAAAGATGGCATTTAGAGACGTGGAAACAGGCGAAAAGGCAGAGAGCATGGGAGGCAGCAGGGAAAGTTAGAGGGTTGAGAACGCACCCAAAGCCTGAGGTCAGGGCTTAGTTCATTTATTGGTTACTCTGGGCCCCGGGGTTCTCTTGTTTCTCCCACTGTCAGTTTTATGGCTTTGGCTGTGCAGGGCCTCAGTTTCCCCACCTTTTCATAGGAATAATAAGATTTATAGCATCCGTTTGTCATGATGCCCACAAAGGACATTGTACAAGTCAAGTTCCAAATTCTTACGAACTGAATTCTGCCCGAGGAGCTTTAAGGGATGAAGAAGTAGACAGAAATAAGCCCTGCAGAACAATATAAGGATTTAAGAGTTAGAATTGCCTTTTTTTGGTAAAAGGCATTGTTTGTGAGAAAGGGCAGTGAGGACGCAAAACTTGCAGATATTGCCTATACCAAAAGCTTCAAGGGTGAGATAAAGTAAAAGACTGGCATGTCCTTTGAGAAAGGCTGGATATTGTCATTTATATCCAGGCGCTCTGGGCTAACCTGAGGAAGCCCCTGACCTAAAGGCGCCCCCTAGTGGTTTGTTCTAAAAATACTGAATGTTTTCCATCTTGCTTTTTCTCTCCTGTTAAAACAATGGATTGTAATTTTTCCCAAGTACCAAACTAATAAATCCAGGTACAACGTATTTTCTGTAGGAAAAATTCCTAGAAGAACGAGGGCTGGACTTGTGGACAAGAGCCTTCTACACGTAGGCAGGTTACATCTAAATCTCTTTCCAAAAAAGTTTGCACCAATTCGCACTCCCTTTTTGACTTATTTAAACATAAATACCAAGATAAGACTGGATTGATCACTTTTCCGCAGTGTCCTGTCCATAAAAGAGAAGGGCTGGGTTTAGAAAAAGGAAAAAGAAAACATCAGGAATCCAATCTTCTCTAAAGAACTTGGACCCTGCTTTGCACTCACTGGGGGCGTGGTCAGGTCCATCTAAAACTGAGCTGGCAAAGGCTGGGAGTGACAGCCACTGGGAGAGGCAGCAGTTGGGAAAGGCTTGCCAGGCAGCGACCTGCCTGAGATCACACTAGTGGGTCTCAGCTGGCTTTGTCTGCCAAACCTGTCTGATCTCCAAACCCTTGCTGACCCCCAATCCAGCTTCTTCATTCATTCCACCAACAGACAGCTCTGAGAGGCTCCGGCGGCCAGGCTGTCTTGTTGGTGTTGGGGACGCCACAGTGAGCAAAGGCAAATGTATCCCTGTGCCTTTGAAGAACCTCACAAATAAACGTGTAATTGCAAACGAAGCCAAGTGGCCGGGGCAAGAGGTACACATGATGTACAGGGGGAGAAGTGAGGGGTGAGGGGTGGGGTAGGGGGGGTGGAAGTAGGGGGTAGGGGATCTGCCTGCAGTTGGCCAGCCTCTGCCTGTATCCTGAGAGCATGGGTGACTGTGAGGGTGACTGAGTGACAGATCGAGCGGAAAGACCAGTGTGTGCTTTTGAAGCTGCTGTCTCAATCTCCCTGTCCCTCACAGGCCCCACCTGGGCCTCTGGGCCCGCAGAACCTGCAGTGGCTGGGGTTCCCCAGATGTGGGGAGTGTGTGGCCGTTGATCCCACCTCCGGCAGCTAGGTCTGAAGTGCTGGCCACTTCCTCCCTTTGCATTCCCTGTGGTTGGCTGGTGGGGCTGAGACAGCTCGGGCCAGTGTTGAGGGGAATGGGAGGGGGCAGTGAGACTGTCCCAGGAGGGGCTGCGAGCCTCCTAAGTCCCAGCTTGTCCCTGGTTCTGAGAGCCCAGCTTAGCCTCTTCCTGCCGTTTGTCCCAGCCTTGGTCTTATCAGAAGGAAATCTTTCCAGAACTTTTCCCCACCCTGACTCCCCACTTCCTCTCCCCATACTCCCTCCAGGATGTGAGGTGGGACAGAGAGGTGCCGAGCCCTCACTACAGAAAAGTCATGCGGCTAGTGGGGTGGGATGGGAGACTTCTTATGGACACCCTTTTCCAGCCCTGTTGTTTTTGCTGGTTTCTATTCTTCCTTTCTCAAATCCTAGGTCTCCCAGGACTGATGCCAGTGTTGCCTCCCTGTGTCTCAGTCACAATCCATTTTCTACCCGACAATATTTACTAGGCTTCTACCCAGTACCAGTTCTGGTTAGATTGGGGATACAGAAAGGTAAGACATGTCCAGCCCTCCAGAGCTCACTGCCCAGTGGGAAGGCAGCAGGGCGAGGCCAAGTCAGTGAGAGAAGCGTTTTTTCTGGAACTGTGTGTGCAAAGTGCTGTGGACTTGGAAGAAGAGAAGGGGAGGGGCGGTCGTCAGAGGAAGTTCATGGCTTCCTCCCCTGGACTTTCAAAGACAAGGCCTGGTGCATGCGATGAGAAATTAGGGCATGGGAAAGAGAAAGAGACTAAGAGATAGAGACAGACACACTATGGTTAATATTTCCCCACAGAACTGAAGCTATTTAATTTGAAGGGCTATTTTTTATTCTGAGATGATGACCTTTCTGACTTTTGGTGTTTTAATGTCCTTTCCAGAAGATACTATGTTGTTTGTTTCTTTTATTGTGGGGAAAAAGCACATGACATGAGATCTGCCCTCTCAACAAAATTTCAAGTGTGTGGTACAGTATTGTGAACTAAACGCACAATATTGTACAGCAGATCCCTAGAACTTATCTTTCATAACTGAAACTCTATACCCATTGACCTTCTTCACAGTTCCTCCTCCTTCCAGCCCCTCGCAACCACCATTTGACTTTCTGTTTCTATCAGCTTGACTACTTTATTTTTCTATTTATTTTTTATTTATATATTTTTTAGCTGAGCCATCCTGCCACCTGTTGGCAGCTCAGCGGCTGCTCAGCT